TGCAAATCCCTGATTTAATTTACTCACTGGGAATTAAATCAGCATGAACTGGTTTTGGTGCTGGGTATTTGTGATGATCAAACTAGATCATTTTAAAACAATGTCATTGGATTAGAAAGCTCCACTGACAGAAATAAGCTCTTAAGAGATGCAATATAATAATCTTGGACACTACAGAACAGTATGTGCAGTGAGTGGGCAGCCCTCTCCTCCCACCTCATTCTTTTCTACTGAAATTGAACCCTGTCTGCAAAAACATTTCACAGTCAGGAAAGAGTTTTGTACATGTCCTCATAGGTCTAGAACTCTAAGAAAATCGACAGGCTGCAACCATCAAGTTGTCCCTGGGACAGATGTCCAGCTGGCTAGGGGCTGTGTGCACCGGGAGCTATTCTGAAACCCAACATTTTACATCCATGAGTGTAGCAGGGCGCTGCTCTTTTTTCATCCTCGACTTTAGTGGAGCATTAACAGTGATATCAGCAGAATCAGATGTTGGAGGTCCTTGTGCTAATAACCAGCCCCCTGCACCACGTACCCACAGGGGTCTTTGTTTTCCCATCACCCTCTGTGGTATTGTTGGAGACCACCACTTTCTGGTCAGCTGGTGAATGTCTTTGGGATTTGTTTTCATGCATGATATGCATGGCGAGCTCTTGGTGCACCTGGGAACAAAGGCTATGTTCTACCTCTCCACTACAACCATGGCTGGGATCATATGGCCTTTGCAGAGTAGCTAAGGGGTCACACATAGAAATGGTACTGTCTGTGTGTGGTCTGGCTGCTTCTCTGCTATGAGGGGCTTGCTGAAGCTGGACCTGCAGGTCTTTTCTACTTTGTGCTTCCCAGGAAGCTTCCCATTATACTGGAAGAGCTGGAAAAATCTAAGATCTCTCTCTTCAGCATTTCATACACCTGGTATATACCTAGCCTCCTCAGACCAGGCAAGGCTACTGCGCAGACTTCTCCCCAAGGTAGGAAGCGTTCTTTCCAGTCTTCTTCAGGGTTTCCAACAGGGTGTCAACATTGTGCTCTGAGTCGATGCACACCTTCTTATTGGGCAGGTCAATGTCAAACTGGACACCTATGAGGAAAGGAAAGAAATTTTGCATGGCTAGAAGCAGCCAAATGGTGTGAGCATGGGGAAGGCCCACCTTCACACATTTGTGCTCCCACGGTCATCAGTCAAACATATATGTGCTTTCTGCCAGCAAACCCTGATACCAGCAGCAGCCAGCAAAACCAAACTGGTGTTCTGCCAGCAGTGGTACGAAGGAAGCCAGATCTCCTGTAGATCTGCATCGAGCACCACAGCTTCTCAACCACTTTAATGTGCTCCCTCCACTTTGTATCAACACAATCACTCACACCGTAACCAGAACGAGCTGAGTTTAAAGCAACCACTATAATATCCAACCAGGTTGGTCTGTGCTGTGGTTTAGCATAGATAGGCACTAACGAGGGAGTTAGTGTAGGAGTTAGGACAGGGTCAGGACAGGTTTCCTCGGTGGCAGTACCAGCTAACAGCTGTGAAGGAGAAACAAGCATGACACTTTCCCATGTGGATTTCCCAGTGGCTAATAAGGGTCAGCCACTCTCAGCCCAGTGAAAGGAACTGGACATGAAGTCTCTATCCAGCTATATATTTTTGCAAAACTTGTAGGTATGTATCAGCTTTGAGAGCTCTGCCATGTCATCTCATGAGGCTGATATTGGCCAGCATGTCAAGGAGTGATGGAGGAGCTGTCAACCACACACAGAAGTGTGATAACCACAGCCTGGTAACAGTGTCTGGAAGAAGCTGCAAGGCCTTCACCTTGATGACTGAAAACTGTTTGCGCTCAGTGAGGACAGGGGAGCAGGATGACAGGTCCTCACAACTGGTGAGTATGGGTCAGATCCTTGCCTCTTGGTAACCCCAGCACAAAGGAGACATGGGTTATAATTTTCCAGGTGGTATTTAAAACAGGCTATGCAGGCAACCACCAAATGCCTTGCTCGGCAGCAATCCACTGTGACTGCTGATGACACATCTAGGGCAGTACCACAGATACCCCACACCTCCTTGGGAATAACACCTGGCAGGACACCCATCTCCCTTCCTTCTGGCAGCCTAAGCAGGGGTCTACCAGCGCGGTTAACAGAGGGGTCAGGATGAGGCCCTGAGGATCCAGAGTCATCCGCAGTCACAGCAGCTCCTTCGTCCTCCCTTGATGTTTCTCCAAGGGTCACAAGAGTCCTCCTAACAACCAGTGACTCGTTACTGACTAAGCAGCAGGCTCAGAGCAGAGCAGGGAGCAGAAGTTTCCAACCAGCCACTTAAAGCTTTTACCCGCAGCATTACGCTTGCAAGATGGAGGACCACAGGGCACTGACACCCTGCCTCAGAGCTGGTGTTGCTCCTGTGAGCTGGCTCTCACACACCCAGCATTGACTCACCTCCCAGCCGGTGCAGGACACGGGTGACCGCGTTGGAGCAGCCTTCGCAGGTCATGTCCACAAAGAACTCGTGTTTCTGAAAAGAGGCAGACAAGGGTTCAGGGAGGATACAGCTGCACTGTGAGCACTTATCTTCCACATTTGCTTTTTCCCTTTGGGAGGTGGGTTCAAATTCTCAACCAAAAGGTCCACACATGCCACTAAGGGATCCTCAGCAAAACCAAGAACTCTCGGTGCTCTTCCCTATGGTGTCCCTGTGCTGTCCCTCACAGCAAAACCGTGAGGGGCCTTTGGAGACGGTCTGGCCCCTACTCTGAGCAGGGCCACCTTCAGGGTCAGCACAGGCTGCCATCTCTGGGCCTCTGCTGGACTACACTCCACTTGTCCTGGGGAGCCCAGGAGAAGCAAGTCGCCTGCCTTCAGCTACCCGCTGTCCTGACTCTTTCTGCAACGTTTTCAGTGCTTGCCCATCCTTTTCTTCTTGTGTCTACAAGGCCTCTGGTCCCCATCACAATAAACTCATAAAAATATCAACAAAACTGAAATTTAAGGCACATTAGTGCTGTTTTTCCCCCCTCACTGCACCGGGGCTTCAGTGTTATCTTCACTGCTTGTGAGAGATTCTGGGTCAACATAAAGATGCTTGCCTGTAACACTAATCATCATGCTCAACCTTTAGCACCAGATGGACCCTAATTTCCTTTCCTTGCGCATGATTTTTGCTTTCCTTAAAAAAGAAATGTAAAGCTATTTTTTGTTACCTGCAACCCATATTTCTTTCTATTCAAAACCACTCTTTGCCCCCCATCACTGAGAGGGTGAAACCCTCCCAGGCACAATTCACCCTGGAAAGGCGTTAGGGCACCATTGTTCCCATTAGGATTTCGCAGTGTAATTAGCATTTTCTTGATTTTTATTTTACAGAAGCCCTGCATGCTCTACAGACCAGTGTGCAGGAACGAGGGGATAGAGACGTGGCAGGAGGGGTCCCAGCGGAAGCCGCCCCCGCGCGGGACCGGCCTGTGCACCCAAGCCCCGGTGGTTGGGGGAGCTCCGCCACCTCCTCCCGGTACCGGTAGCGCCCTCCCTGCCTCGGTGCCTCCGCTGC